GGGGTTTTCCCCACGGCAAATCGTGTAGGCGACAGCTAGTGTACCTCCTCACCAATGGCAACCAGCAAGCGGAATCCTCATGACAAATGACGTGGCTGAGACTAACCCCGAAGAAGCTGTTCCATGTTTTGCTTTGTCCAAGAACGATTCGTACGTAATGTCGGCTTCTGGAGGGAAGATCTCATTGTTTAACATGATGACGTTTAAGGTAAATCCCGGTGAAAGGCATTACTGAATGAATTCCGACGGTTTTTGTCTTAAACTGTTGTTGCCTGAATGCAGACAATGGCTACTTTCATGCCGCCTCCCCCTGCTGCTACGTTTCTTGCTTTTCATCCTCAAGACAACAATATCATCGCCATCGGGATGGACGATAGCACGATACAGATTTACAATGTCCGAGTGGATGAGGTAACAAACTGTGAAGCGATTTTCTTTGGACAAAAAGTACGGGGAAAAGAAAGAAACGTCGATATGTTAAATACGTCCTTCGTGCTAATGCAGGTTAAGAGCAAGCTCAAAGGTCATTCGAAGAGAATAACAGGCCTTGCCTTTTCCAACATACTTAACGTGCTGGTTTCATCTGGAGCAGATGCCCAGGTGCTTTCATGGTTTCGTGTCTCGGAAACTAGTCGTTCGTACGGATTAATAATTACCGGAATCTTAGTCTTCTTATGTCGGTTTATGTGTTTCAGATCTGTGTCTGGAACACGGACGGATGGGAGAAGCAGAAGAGCAAGCTTCTGCAACTTCCTCAGGGAAGAACAGCAGCGGCTTCGCCATCAGACACGCGTGTGCAGTTCCATCAAGACCAGATTCACTTCCTGGTCGTGCACGAGACTCAGCTCGCTATATACGAAACCACGAAACTCGAATGCATGAAACAGGTACATACAGAACGAGTCTCTCTAAAGAAAACTGTCTTTACCCGAGAAGACCATCACGATCACGACATTTTTCGTATTGTCTTTCCAGTGGGTTGTGCGAGAATCATCAGCTCCGATCACTCACGCGACATTTTCATGCGATAGCCAGCTGATCTACGCGAGTTTCATGGACGCAACTGTCTGTGTTTTTGGCTCTTCGAATCTTCGGTTGCGCTGCCGAGTTAACCCTTCTGCATATCTTCCTGCTAATCTCAGGTAACGCACCAATCCACACCATGTCGTGTAATGATCATAGAAGTAGTTGAAGATAACTATATATGGTCTGAATCACTATCATAATGTGCAGCAATTCGAATGTGCATCCACTGGTGATCACTGCACATCCACAAGAGCCGAACATGTTCGCGGTGGGTTTATCGGACGGAGGAGTTCACATTTTCGAGCCGTTGGATTCGGAAGGCAAATGGGGCGTGGCACCACCGGCTGAGAACGGCTCGGCCAGCACTGCAGCCATGCCGTCGGTGGG